CCACAAGGAGGAGGCAGGCATTAGATGTAACCTTGTTCTGTGTCCTTGAGGGGGAATTCCTGCCCAGCTTCTTCCCACTACCCTCACCCCCGAATAATCATTCTCACTCCCAGTGGAAGGCCAAGGGCAGTTTTTTTCTCCCTTCAGATCTCTCTTTGGAGGAGGAAGGTGCATTTGTTCAAATCCTCTTTGTCAAGCTACGACGCACACCAGGATCATTATGTCAGCAGCCTGCTCTGTGCCTGGGGCAACAGCATGAATAGCTTTGGGCTGAGCAGAGACGATCCCACAGTGCGACTTGTGGGGTCAGAGCCTGTGAAGTTCCAGGGAGTCTGGAATGGAGTGTCAGATGTGGGACAGAGAAGCAAAATCCACGCCCCATATCTGTCTTCTTTGCATAATAACTCTTTTCGGGAGATCTCAGCTGATGCGGAAGGAAGAAAGGAAAACTCCACAGCATCCCCCCTGCCCTGCCTCAAACTCAGGCTCCCATCCAGCCCCATTATGCTCCTGTGGTTGCACGCACACATATACACACATATAAAGACAGCTGTGCAGGGTTCATACCACCCACTGCTGTATGTGAGTGTTATTTCCCAGCCAGCCAACTACTTTCTCACATTTCAGGTGCTTTCACATTGCCCTGCCCACCCCCAATGTCATGCATCTCTTCCTTCCGCAGCGTTTCCTCCTCACACGTCTCTGTCCCTGTGCTGCTTGTGCTGCCACCACAGGCAGATTTCCATTGCTGACTCGTATTTTTTTCTGATTTCCTCCCCATTTGAAACGTTTCTAACATATTCAGCTTTTTCTGCTGGTGATTCATAGACAGATGAGAAACTTGCCCATAGCTTTTAAACCCATCCCATCCCATCCCTTAGCCCTTCTAGATTTTGTGGGTTTTTTTTCATCCCCTTCCTCCTCAAATCATTTCACCTTCTGCCTAGCCTCCCGCTTCTTTTTTTTTCTTTTTTTTTTTTCCTCTCCTGACAGGGTAGGCCCTTCAACAGTCTCCACATGCAGTCATCAAAGAGGGAGGAGCTGTGACTCTCAGCAGTTTCCAGATGGGAACCACATGCTCCTACATGCTGTGGTATAAGCAGGCTCAAAGAAAGGATACCATGCTGCAGCTGCTAGTGTTTTCAGTGCAAGGGGAAAAGGCAGAGTTTGAGGCCGAATTCCAGAATCACTTCAAGAGCTGTGGGAGTATGGACTATCGCTTGTCCTTTTCAATAGATTTTGCCTCAGTGAATGACTCTGGCCCATATTACTGTGCTAAGATACACATTGATTCAGATGCTGAAGAAGCTGAGCACAAATCTCTCTGTACAGAAAGTGATCTGATGGCTGGGGAGATTCTGCCTCTTCCTTCTCGGTATGGTCAGCCGGCCATTGCCCACAGAGTTGAGGCCAGGGGTCCCTGCAGAATCAGTTTGGGAGAGTATGGGTTCAACTATAATTTTCCTCACACGATCACAAGATGCAGCCTTCTCTCTTTTTCTGTAGAGAGCAGAGTGGGGAGTGATGAGACAGGGTTATTTCCAAAGGCAAATGAGTACCTGATTGTCAGGGATCTGCATAGGTATTGTCTCTGTGCAGAAGCTAGGACCTGCAGAGCGCCCAAGGCCAGCTGCACTTCCTGGAACCATCCAGAACCATTGGAAAAACTGAGGACGTTTTGTGGAGGGGAAGAACCTGCAGATGTGCAGGAGGCAGTGAAACTGAGCTGATGCTGGAGGGAAAGATGGTAATGCAGCCCTAAACCACCTCTTTTACTTGGCGCAAAGGGCATGGCAGAGTTCAGCATGCTGACCATGATGCAAACCTCAGTTCGTTGGCAGCACTGACACCTTGCAGGCTGCAGGGGATCAGGTCCATCCCTTCATGCAAGGGAGGGAAGGGTGCAGGAAGACACCCATGCCTGTTCATTGTACGAGGGTGGAGGATCCCAGCTTCTTCCAGCACCTCACCTGCTCACTGAAGCAAAGTAACCAGGTTCACACACTTTGTGTCTCTTTGTGTCTCAGCAGAAACACACAGAATTTCTGTGCTGCCTATGTTTGTGCTGATACTGCCAGCACATCGCATGTACATCACAATGCTTTCTCTGTTTCCCTTTTTTGTTAAGCACCACGTGATTGAGGAAACCGTTAGCAATTTTTGAGAGGAAGATAACTATTCCCACTTTTCTGGAGACAGACAGAAGGAAAACTTCAACATGAAGCATATAAGAAACTCAAGAGAGACCAGAACATTCTATTCAGCTAGGGATGTCTTTCTCCATATCATGCAGCTGTGTAATACCTGCATAGCTATAGCATGCAGCTAATAGACTGTGCATGAAGCCCTTCCCAGTAACAGAGACTGCAGTCATCCAAGCACAAACCCAGGTGGCCCCAAGAGTGAGATGTCTCAGGAGTCTATTATATCAAAGCTATTTTATCAGGCTAAAGTCTCCCAGTTACAGACATATGCCCACAGAATAAATAGATCCACGTGTGCTCTCAGACTCCACTGATCAATTCACACCAGCTGTCTGGAGACAAGCTTGTTCATTAATGACCTTATTGCTCCTTTAGCAGATTTTATCTCTGTGTCACTTTTTTCTTCTTTTTTTTTTTCTTCCCTTTTTTTGGATCTTAATATGTTTTGCTCCCTTCTTCTGCTATTTATTTTCTCTCCGGAATTCTCCCCCTTTTTTGCGGTGGTATTTAGATTTATCTGGGATAATTTGAGATCTCCTCGGAAATCTTGTTACCTCCTTTTCCAAATACATCAAACAGCAGACATCTCAGCTGTGACCCACAGGCTAAAAAAGGTGTTGCAATCCCCGCTTCTTGAAAAACTGATAATTTTTCTCACTTCCGTTTTTCCTGCTGTCATTTTGTCAGGAGCTATTCCTTCTTATTCTAGAACAGCGTCATCTCTGAGTCACAGATCCTCCCCTCCACCCTTCCCCAAGAGACATGTAAACTTTTACACAAACCAGCATAATTTGTTGCCCAGTTCTCATCTTAACGTTTCTTCCGAGTGTTGTGCCTCTTTGGAGAAGTTGGACTGACTGAGGGTTTTAGCTCTGTCTCACCTTTGGAACCTTTTAGTTAAGTGCTGCTGCCACTTGGTTACTTCCCTTCCTGCCATGCCAGGTTGGTGCAAGGTTTTCATGCCTTCATATATGCATTCAAATACATTGCATTTGATCCCACTGGACTTTTTCCTGGGAAAAAATAAAGTATAGGGCACTTTGTCCTGTTGACCCTCAGGCTCCAGCCAGGGCTCACAGCTCTGTAATCCTCTCGCTCCTGCTGTGCAGAGCTGTGTGGTAAAAGTATGTGGAAATGTCAGCAGAGCGAGAGAAAGAAAAACAGTATCCACATCTCAGTGCTCTGCAGATTGCTGCTCTTATTAGACAGCACAAAGGAGGGAACAACTTTGTCAGCGACCACTTCATCGCACTGTCCACCGCAGGCATTAGTGATGTTCCAGCTGTGTAAGAGGGGAGATCCTGTGAGGATATTCCAACAATTTGAAAATCAAGTATAGCCTATAATCTGGAAAGTAGAATTTCTTCTTCACCCACTGGAGACCTTGACACATCGGGGGGATAGTGACAGAGGACTGGGACTGTTTCCAGACTGCTCTTCTCAACATCCTTGGCTGTCATATTTGAGAATGCACTCAGTCTGACGACAGAAGTATTTATTTCCCTCCATTTTCATCTCGTCATCTTTTCATCGCATCCTCTCCTCTGTCCTCCAACATTTTCTTCTTCTTTTCCCTGACATACCAGGCAAAGATATCAACCACGCTCCACTCACAGTGGTCAGGGAGGGAGATCCTGTGACTTTCAACTGCTCCGGGATAAGAACTCTGTCTCTTGGTGAAAACAGGATGAAGGAAAGGATGCCAGGCTACAGCTCAGGGCTTTTTCTGGAAAAGGGCAGATGCAGAGAAGAAATTCAGCAAGTGCTTCCAGAGCAATGGGACACAAAGCTACAGTCTGATCCTGTTCGTATGTTGTGCCTATCTCAATGACTCAGGCACATATTACTCTCCTAAGAGATATTTCAGTGACAAAACATCTGAGAGAGCCAGACACAAACTTCTCTGTAGGCAAATGGCACTTGTTCCTTCATGCCCTGCTCTTCTCCTCTCCCTCCCTTTCCTCCAGCATCAGATTTCTTGTAAATTTCTCCCCACTTCGCCTATTCTTTGATTTTTCTCTCCTTTTATTTTACTCAAACTGTCTAGTTCCCTTTTCTTTTTTAGGAGACACCTACACAGTCTATTGGCAACTTTGGCAGCTTTTTCATGGACTTTCAACCCCAGTGCCAGTTGGGGTTAGGAGGAGTTAAAACCAGAAGCCAGGAACATCTCTGTACTTTTGACTCTTCCAGGAAAAATAAGCAAGCCCAGTACGACCAGTTAACTGAGCAAAAAAGTATACACAGCAGCCCCAGTGGCAGTGGTACGTGAAGAGAACAAGCCTTAGCAAGAGGTTGTTTCATTCCCCAAGTAGAGCTTTCAGGGAGGGAAATGTTCAGTCATCTTGTTGGAGGTAGGAGTGGGGGCGATGGGGAGCGCTTGTGTTGCTGCCTGCTGTTTTCTACAGTAGGACTATGATGCCTGTGTGATTCAGCGCATTCTCTCATCTGTTTTAGGCACTTTTGTAGCACCTGAGTACACACTGATAAACAGAAAAGATGTTCTGCTCCCGAAATGGCTGCCTGTAACTGACAGAAAGACTCCCGAAGATGAGTCTGCAAAATGTTCCAAGATCCTGCTAATTGAGAGACCCTACAAATATTAAATATTTTCCCCAGAGTGACATTCCCTGCCTCTGTCCTCCATAAGATAGCCTGTGGAAGTACCCAGAGAAACGCTGCACAAAGAAGGGGTGCTTGAAAGTCTTTATTTTTTTTGATAATTTTTGTATATCCAGTCCCAAAACAGACAAAAATGACGAGGAGAAAAAGCAGGTCACATAGAACAAGAGTGTCTCAGTTGGCAGACATAATTGCTTCGATCCAGGAGACATAATTGCAAACCTTAGTGTAAACCCCGGGATAGCCTTTCTGCGCACATCCAATACCCCAGGAAACAATGCCCTGGAGCTGCCCATTGCAGACTACTGGACCGCCGGAATCCCCCTGTGCACATAAAGGATACAGAAATTCAGCAAATGGTATCAGTGTAAGTGATAAGCCAGAGATCCCGGAAATCACTGACATTTGAGTCAAGCTCCATTGGGCTTTTTCTACACAGAAGTTCTACAAAAGTCATTTCTGATTACCACTCTACACCTGATGCTACTGTGCCTTACTTTAGTTCCAAGGACACCACAGCATGAGTAAGCATGAGTAAGCATGAGTAAGCATGAGTAAGCTGCCTATTTTTGACAGATGCGGTCCTTGGCAAACACTTAGGATATGTATGTCTTAAACGCTATTCTGCCAAATATTTTCATGGAGCTAGGCACATGTAAAATGCAGAGCAATTGTCAGCTATGTTCATTTTCCAGACTGCCTGGATCTTGGTGTACTGGCTACTTCATTTTCAGTGAGTCCAAAACTAACGTTTGTGTCCTAAGCTCTAAAGTCCCTGTGATTACTATTGACTCTCTGGTGCAGCACTCCTCCATTTTCAGTAGCCTAAGGTGTAGGAGGTGGTATAGTCTGCTTGTGGAGAATTAAGGCAGAGGTATGCGCTATCTCAAAAAAGGGGCAAAGACTAACTGTGGAAAAAACCTAGGCTCATTCACTAAGCAACTTTCATCCAAAGCCTCTGCTGTTGTTCAAAAAAACAACATTCAGACATGCCAGTGCAGTGAGCAAAGCAGATTCTCTAATATGATGCCCTCTTCTACTAGCAAAAGGCAGGAGAGAAACATATGGGAAAAGAAAGGCAGATGTTTTACCTGGCAGGAGTCTTTCCCTCCCTCCATGAATCCTACACATATCATGTTCTTGGTAATTTTCCCAGGGTAGGCTTTGGCGCACTCTCTTGAGGAGAGTACAGGAGCCTTCAGGCACTGCAAGGTATCTGGATACAGATCTACAAGAAAATAGGGAGAGATGGTTGATGACACCTCTGAGTTCATTTCAGAACCCGGAGAAGATCTTTCTTAGCAGAAAAGTAATCAATTACTGAACATCCTGTTTTAGCAGTTGTCATTTTTCCTCTGAATAGTAATCACAGCATGGATTCCTTTTGTTTAGATGGAACAGATTCTATCCATGGTCCACTGTTCTACACTGCAGCCACGTTAACTTTTTTGATACCTAGAAAATCATCAACTGGCAAGTGTGGAGCTAAGAGCTACTCTTGTAGCACATGTGCCTCAGGAAAACCATCCTCTCCTCTGGTGCAGGTTTAGTTGTCGTCGGTGGATTAGACGACCAGTCAGCATCCACACCTCTGACCACTGGTGTAAGAGAATGGAGCTCTCTTGTAGTAATTTTAGCTCCACAATCACAGATTTTGATCTTGGTCTCAGAGAACCGACAACTCTGTTGACATCAGTTAAATTGCGAGTGCTTGGCACTGTACAGCTGATAGCGCCAGGCCACAAAATTTATGGCAGTGTGAACATCCTGGTGAACAGCACATGGATGACTTAAGTGATTCCATGTGCATAACAGAACAAGAGGAAGGACTTTATAAAGGCTTGCCTTTAAAGCAGTTAAATGGTTACTGTCCTACACAGACTGATCACTCAAAAAGGCCTGTCCCACAGTAAAGCACTTCTCTGTGCTTTACCCTGTACTGTTTGGAGTTAATTGTGAAGTCTTAGAGCATCTCCCGGGCCCTCATGATGCTGTACATTCCCACAGAGTACTCACTGGCATTGCTGAGTGTGTTGCCCCAGCCAGAGATGAGGCATGTGGTGCCTGCAGTCACACAGCTGGTAGGCAGAGGAACTGTTTGGACAGCTTGGTTGAGCTGGGCTGGTTCGGCAAGCTTGATGAGCATAATGTCATTGTCCAGTGTTGCGGAGCTGTAGCCAGGGTGGCGGATGACTTTAGCTGAACTAATAGACTTCTGTGTCGATTCTGTGAGCGCTAGGTTATGTTTCCCCAGCTGCACTAGCATGCGACTGGAAAAGAGAAAGAATGGCCTATGCTTTATTGCTACCAACAGGTTATGAGGAACCTCCCCGTCACCGTATGCACTCGCTTCAACATCGCTATCGTAGTAGCTGTTTTCATGCAGGTTATCTTTCTTGTCCTGCAGTAAGTCCCGGGGATCCACACTGAGATTTACCCACTCCCAGGAGAGGTGGTGAATTTCTGCATGTTTATTTTGTTGAGCTGAGACAAGTTGAATATGTAACAGTGCTTTATACAAACATTCTGGAAAAAGGCAAACTGCTATAACTCTGACCCCATTCCTCTTCCTATTCTCCAGTGACTAAGTTTTAGCAAGATTAATGCAATTTATAAGAAATCACAGCCTGTAACTCATTGCTAGATTATCACATTGTCATTGCAGAAAGTGCTCTGCGTTCACAGAAACATTTGCAGAAGGGGAAAACCCCTTATGATGCCTCAGCCCATCTTCCTGAATGAGCCGCCCATTCCTTGGTTGTCTCCTGTCAGAATGGAGTCACTTACATATTTGGATCTCACAGCTCAGAGTCCCTGCTAGAAGTGAACTGTAAGAAAGAAGTAGGTTATGGAAGAATATATTTTTTCCCACTTACGACTTGTAGCAGTGAGCAGCTGACAGGACCCACTGGCTGTTGATGAGGGAACCTCCACAGAAGTGATACCCAGAATTCAGGGACACCTGATAGGGGACAGAGTTCGCTGCACAGGTGTAGCCTCCCACGATCTTGTCATCATCATCATCAGCAGGAGCACTGATGGGGAAGGCAACTGGGAGATAAGAAGTGGCATATGTCAACATGTGAGCCTTAGTTGTAGGCTCTACTTCTATTAAAAACTCACAGTAGCAGTCGTGGGCAAGCACTTGCCCACAGTCCAAAAATTTACTGCAGGTTTAGGATCTTGGGCCAGAGGTTTCATCTTTATACTTCATAGTCCGTATGAAGAGAGAGGGTTTTTTTGAAGCTATGGACACATTTCAGTATTCCTGGGTTAAGACGCCTTATGAAGGTATTCATTCCCCATTTTGTGAAACAAGCTATTATGAACAGACAGCAGTCAAAGGAAGTTGCAGTGCTCTGCCTTAAAACTTTTGCAAGTTGAAACTGGACTTCACTTTCCCACAATGGATACCTTGCAAATCTGCTCAGAAAATGAGCTTCCTTATGAATTACAGAAATAAAGGTAATAAATATGCTCACCAGCCACGCCAACAAAGGTGACAAACAGTATGTAGTTCATGATCTTGAAACAGCCTCAAGCCCAGCCTGTGGACTGGAAGTGTGAGCTGCTAGAAATACATTTTTTGAAATGGCCTTATCTCTAGTCCAAGGATTTCTCCAGACAAAAAGTACACAGTGGAAAATTTGAACATCCAAATGTGGGTATTAATAGGCACTGGTAGAAAGTACAAATAACATATCAGTTAATCATAAACCTTTCCTAATAGAGACCTTTCCTAATAGAGTCCTTTCTTAAAAACTTTCCTAAACCTATCTTAATAGCGAGCAATTTTAAATTATTTCAGAGGGCAGCCTTCAATTTAAAAATACATTTGGGGTTTGGAAGATGTGTAGTTGTTTGCCTGCCTCATTCTTGTGCACAGGACCTGTTGAGAACAACCCTCAAACCCCTTTGCGATTCCTCTGCACTTATGGTGTCATTCTTAAAAATGCATATTTTTTACCGGAAGTTGAATATTGTTGGTAATGGACAGTAAGATGCTATACATTTATTTTGGGAAAAAAACCCAAAACCGCCCAGTGTTGTTAAGTTTATTTTAGCAAATTCCTTTTCTTGAGTAACATGTGTATTTTTATCATAGAGAACACAGTGTTTTCCCAAATAAAATTATTCAAAAGCAATTTCAATAAGTGAGTATGAAAAAACTACTCTGTGCCCCCCACCTCCCAAGTTAAATTGTTCAAATGTGGGAATGCGCACCATATCTCTTTGAAAGCGTTTCTCTCATCTAATCTATATGTAATATCGGCCTAAGTACTGAACCATGTTTTTAATTTAGCTTTGGAATGTTCTGTAGAGACTCATTTTTGCCTCAGAAGAATTGCAGTATAACATTGATGTTTATGGATGTAATGTATATGAAAAAAAATACTGTGAACACAAATAAACGAGATCTTCTGAAATCCTTCTCTGAAAGAGTGATAATTTCTGTCACGACGATGAGTTTGCTAAAGCTGAATACGTTGATGAATAATCGTTTTCCAAGCAGCTGCCAACTTCATCATGTTAGCTCCTGAAAGACATGGGATAGCCTCAAGTGACTGTAAACAGAAGTCATATGCTTTGAGATGCTGAAATGGCATGACAGACTAAATAGGAATAATCTTTCTCCTCCGTTTCTTGACCAAATTTTGAGAGCCCTGGAGGACTGGCACACGCAGTGGCACTGTCCAGGTGGAAATTTTCCTTCATGCTAAAGGACAAGTTTGAGGCCAGGGACTCCACCAAGGACCTGCATGACTTGTCTTGGGCTTTAAACTTGTATCAGTGCATGGTTTTCTTGCAAACATGTTTTATCCTGAGAAACAAATAAGGATTAGAGGCTTCCTGTAGAAAAGAGAAAGATCCGTAATAGTACTAAGCATGGCAAAAGTTACCAAAGCTATCTAATTCCATCATAACTAAGCTGAGAAAGAGCAATTCCTAATCTAGAATAGTGTATAATTTGATGTCCCTGTGGATTCATGATTTCTTTATCCAAAGCACGCCATTGGCACAGAGACAGGCTGTCATGAGATATTTTAAAACAATTTTTTTCCTGAGATATAGCTCTACTAACCTATTAGGTAACACCTAGGCTATGAAGGACATCTTCCTGTTCCTTCTTTTCACAGGGTTTAATATCTGGTTTAGTATCCACCTAAATGTCAGGAAAATCCAGTAAAAAAAAATCCAAATTGGGAAGCTCGACCATACCTGCCCTTATGTTGGTACTTTTTTGTTTTCCCTTGTAACTTATCTAACCTACTCTGATCTTAACTGATCAGTTATTCTTAACAGCAGGAAAGGCATCATATAGGGCTGGCTGGTAATCTCCTTGAAGAAAAAGGTCTCTCTGAGACTCTATGCTACTTGCTTAAATCAACAAGAGGACACTACTGACCTCTTCCTAGATTACTGCCAGAGCTCACGGCAAAAGTCCTGGGTCATAGTCCTTGTGTTCCAAAGTCCTTGATGGCAGACATCTAGTGAACATATCTCACTAGAGGTGTGTCCCTCCCATTCTCCTATCTGCCTCTCAGGGCCCCTTCTAGAGGCTCCCGTGAATCCCAGAACGCCAGGGTGTGAGCCAGCAGGGCAGCTCATGGAGCAAACCGATCCCAAATGAAGGCAAACCGGGTGTTTGTGATGCACACCTCGAGGTCATCCAGCAGATTGGCTGCTTCAGAACAGCCTTCCAGGCCTTTCAGTGAGAGCTGTGAAGGATGAACAGACCTCCTTTGCATTCAGGTTGACATTGGAACACCTCCTCCCGCACCTCCTTCCTTTCTTTGAGATGATGAATCTCTGCTTGAAATGTAAATACCCTCTTCTGCTCAATGCTGCTGAACATTCCACAGACCCATTGTAAGGTGTTTTTTTTCAGGGTCTTTCAAAAAAATACACTCTGGGGGGTACATCTCCAGCTGCAAAGAAGTCTCTCATTTAATGCAATGATGCTGCAGCAGAATGCTGGCGGCTCCCGGGGCACGGAAAGGAGGAGGATTGGTGAATGGAGGGCAACTGTGTTAGATATTAGCAACGGACAAGCAGTGGCAGCTTGCATTTCTAGAAATCCATGTTCCTAGTTCAAGTATTTCAGTCAGCTGTATCACCACTGGACTCAGATAAAGTAAATACGGTTGTCCAGGCTGATGCAAGATCCTGGGAAAGGGAAACCTGGCAAGATCGTGGGCTGCCAGTGGTAAAGCCTCCCAGGAGCATAGAGCAGAGGAGTTTCTGAGGCTAGTTCTTGTACATCTCACAGACCTTGGTGGCGGAGGGACCACTGATTCGCTCTTCCCAAGTCTGTCCTGCTTGGCAGCAGCTGGTACATTCTCCAAAGCTTCTGATACTCCAGCTGTCCACACCTGAGCAAACATTCTGTTACAGCCTCTTGCCCTGTCCTCTCTGCCCACGTTTCTCTTTCCCCTAGGGCACAGCATTCTGCTTTTCTGCTATTTCCATCCATGTCAGAGACTTGGACTCTCAGTCTCCTAGAGAGACAGAAGAGGTAGGACATGACAGGGATGTCTAAAATTATGAGTGGCCTGGGGAGACTGGGGAAGGATGGATTGCTTGCTGTCTCTTCCTGTACAAGAATTAGGGGGTAGCAATCAAAGCCAGGGGGTTTGGCAGGTTCAAAACAAGCAAAGGACAATTCATCCTCTTTCAGGAAAGCTTTCCACAGGTTTTTGTGGATGCAAAAGGTTTACATGGCCTCAAAAAGTGAAGGGACACATTTGTGGAAGAAAAAATCCATTGAGGGCTATGAGGTTGAAAGGCACCCCATCTGACCTCCATTGTTCCCAGGAACCTCCTGGTGTTGGACAGTTCACTGCTACTATATCCCAGTAAGAGACCAAAGAGAAGTGCAGAGCCTTCTGGATTCTCAGCCATCTGCCAGGCTGTTTCCCATGACCCAGAGAGGGATAGTCAGGGCTGCCAAAGTCCTGCAAGAAAGTTTGGAGTGTTACCCAAAATCATCCCTTCATTTGCTGGAGCATAGACGGGGAGTCCTGGGAGCAGCTCAGCCCCTTTTGAGCAGGATGAGAGGGGTCAGGTCAGGGCTGGCCTGGCAAAGATGTGTGTTTGAAGCTGGGTTTATCTGACAGTGCTGCTGTGCTGTTCTTGTTCAGGCTGAGATGGGAAGCGAGGATAGGGCTTAAATTATGGGAACATTTGCTCTAATGGTTCCTAGTTCTGGAAGGGTCTGGCTAGGGGAGTAAAATACCTAGTTTTCCTAGGCAACATAAAGAATCCTCAGAGCATCTCTTTCCAGATGACTCCTTTTGTGTTCAGGCACTAGGATCTCTCAGAAAGGCTCCCCAGGTAGAGATCCACTCTGCTTTCCTTCCCCTATAGCTGGTTCCTATATTGCTTGGATAAATCTTTAAATCTGACCGAGAGAGCAACTGATTGTGATGCACATTTCCTTCTCCAGCCTTTGAGCGAAATTTCCCTGGGTCCTGTAAATTCTCCAGTTGCCTTGATAGATATTTTTCCCTGCCCTTCTCTTTCTTCCTCGTCCAAAGCACAGAATCCAAGCATCTGGAGAGGAGAGTGGCCAAGGGAGGCTGTGGTGCCTAAGATCATAGAATCATAGAATCATAGAATCATTAAGGTTGGAAAAGACCTCTAAGATCATCAAGTCCAACCATTAATCCAACACCACCATGCCCACTAAACCATGTCCCTAAGCGCCTCATCTACACGTCTTTTAAATACTTCCAGGGATGATGAGTCAACCACTTCCCTGGGCAGCCTGTTCCAATGCCTGACCACTCTTTCAGTAAAGAAATTTTTCCTAATGTCCAATCTAAACCTCCCTTGGCGTAACTTGAGGCCATTTCCTCTCATCCTATCGCTAGTTACTTGGCAGAAGAGACCAACCCCCACCTCGCCACAACCTCCTTTCAGGTAGTTGTAGAATGCGATAAGGTCTCCCCTGAGCCTCCTCGTCTCCAGACTAAGCAGTCCCAGTTCCCTTAGTTGCTCCTCATAAGACTTGTGCTCCAGGCCCTTCACCGGCTTCATTGCCCTTCTCTGGACACGCTCCAGCACCTCAATGTCCTTCTTGTAGTGAGGGGCCCAAAACTGAACACAGTATTCGAGGTGCGAGCATAAAGCAGAGGAGTTTCTGAGGCTAGTCCCTGTACATCTTCCAGATCTTGGTGGTGGAGGCACCATTGATTCTCTTTCCCCTGCCTCGGAGGAGCTGGTTGAAAGATACCCCATCTGACCTAAGAACATTGAGTCCCCAGTTGCTGGAGGCCAGGAGAGTGTCTGGGGAAGAGTTTTGCATTTTCTGCTCTTTGCATCTGTAATCGCCGGTCAGAGACTCTATCCTGGTTTACGATGTTCCACTGCAGTGGTCTCCAAAGTGGGGTGCATGCATGCCCGGGTGTGTACAAGACGATGCACTGGCATGTGGGAAGAAAGCATTAGAACTTCAGTAGTCTATGCATATAGTTACCAATTACTAAATAGACATATACTGGGGGTGCAGGCTCAAAAATATTTTACTGATGGGATGTGTGATCAAAAATGATTGGAGACACTGTTCTGGTAGTTTCAACAAATACCTTACATGTTCTTTCTTACATTCTGCTATAACATCAGCCTCCAACTCTGCAGAGCCTTCATGTTGTCTCTGATTTCTTCACTACCAGGGCTTCCTTCCTCTCTTGCTCATCCCTGGCTCCCCCCACAGCAAATTAGTATTTTGCTGACTCTCTCAACTGCATTTGCCATTTTCCATTTCTCAGCCTACACAAATGTGTACCATGTGCTTTCCACCATGACACAACTGTTGCATCCTGTTCCAAAAGTGCCACGGAAGTGAAGGTGGCAGTGTGAAGGCTGCACACATTTCATTTGTGAAGTTCCTTGGCAGCTTCTGTTCTTCTGTTCTCTTCCTGACTCAGTGTGGTAAAGACAAAGCCTCATGTTTCAGTGTGCAGAAAGAACTCACAAGGATATTTCAGGAGTTGCTGTGAAGACTTCTGAAGTTACAAATTCTTTTGGCGCTTGCTAATTCCTCTGTAGCTTATTGGCTGCTGCTACACTTTAAGAGAATGGATTCAGACCTGGTGCTGTGAAACTCAATCCTCTTTCTCTCAGTTGCTTTTCCTGGGGATGCTGATGATGACAAGATTGTGGGGGACTCCAACTGCCCAGAGCATTCAGTTCCCTACCAGTGTCCTTGAATGTTGGGTATCACTTCTGTAGCAGTTCACTCATCAACAACCAGTGGGTCCTGTCAGCTGCTCACTGCCAGAAATCATAAGTATTGTTTTGGTTGTGTATCTGGATTCTTGTCAAATCTTGCAAAGCCACCAGATTTGGAATTTGGTGCCTAGCAAAAGAAGAGAATCCAACGTGGCAATGCGTGGTGTATCTGAAACCAAAGGAGAAACACTACCCTCTGTCTTACTGCATTACATGATCTTTCCAATATTCCTGCACTCTTGGCATCCTTTTCTGTATATCCTAACATGCCTTTCTGTGCACATTTGCATGTTCTTGTGGCTTACCATTACCATTTATTTCTTTTTCATTCCTCCAGACTTTCTCCATGGATCTTTCTTGTCCTGAGTTCAGGGCATACCTCTGCAGAGAGAACACAGATCAAGGCTCATGCTCCTCTGCAATACGAAATGTAATCTTCCTTTTCTAAGCATTGCTCTAGGTGTGTGAAGTGCTCCATCTATGCTCGCACCATTGCCACAGTTGCCAGTTGCCCAATTAGCAAGGCTCTCCAGACTCTGTCTTTCATGAAATCCTAAATCTCCCAGAGCTCTGTGACACCTTTGATTAGGGCAACTCTCCCTGACTCTATTCCAAGTGCCCCCATGTGGCACCAAGTTGTTCTACCCATGGTTAACTGCTGGTCTTCTCTGCTGGTAATTTTGCACTTATACACAATTGAGGATGGGAGAGTACAACATTGATTTGAAGGAAGACAGTGAACTAGTCAGGAGTGCATTAATCATTCACCATCCTAGATATGATTCAAGAAGCCTTGATAACGACATTATGTTGATCAAGCTAGCAACCACCATTGACTACAGTGCTGACATTCAACCCACAGCTCTGCCCATCTCCTGTGCCAAGGAGGGTCCTGAGTGCCTTTTTCAGGGTGAGGAAACACACTGAGCAGTGGCTGTGAGTATCAGTGCATGTCACACTTCTTGTCACACTTCTCGTCACACTTCTCCTGCTCTACCAGGAGGTTCATGAGTTCCATGTACATTTCACTCCTGCTTTGCAGCCTTTCCATGTTCTGCTCGTGAGTTCCCCAAACTGTCCTGCAAGTGTTCCTCAATCAACACCTTTCGCCTTTGCTCATGCAGGTCAAGGGTTGCTTTGCTGGATGGCTCTTGCATATACGTCTAGAGGTCTTTCTGTTCACTGACAGTGCTGAGTCCCATGATGAAACCTAATTTTCACTGCTGTCCCGGCAGCCAATTTCTCTAAGGTTCTCCAGTGACTGAGAGCTCCAGTTCTGAGTAACCAAAAGTAGCAAGAGGCTTACCCAGGCCAGATCACCAGCAACATGATCTGTGTAGGATTCCTGGATGATGGGAAAGACTCATCAGGTAAGCATTAATATTTGCACAGAGCCCTGGGTCACATGCCCCAGGGTGCCTCAGGCTGCACAGTATATGTCAGAGCTTGGCAGGGTGCTTAAGCTTCCTTATCTCCAGGTTTTCTGTTCTGACACCATATCCTGCCAGCAGAGTTTTGATACAGGGTGGACTTCACCCAAACTAGCAGGTCCAAGCCACATCTGCTGCGCACTGAGTGCAGTAGCAGTGAATTGTTGGAGGTAGGGGAGGTCAGCAAATAAGGGGTGCTATCTTTCTGTGCTCCCATATCAAGACTTGCTGCACTTCACTTTGCATTCCCTGGATTCTTTGTACCAGGTCAAACCTTTCTAGGTGAGATCAGCTCATGCTTCTAAATTTTTCTCTCCAGGGTGACTCAGGTGGCCCAGCTGTATGCATTGGAAAACTCCAGGGAATCGTGTGATGGGGAACTGAGTGTGCTCTGAAAGGTTATCCCAGTGTCTACACCAAGGTCTGCAATTATGTTGACTGAATCGAAGAAACCATTGCAGCCTAGTGATGACTGGCTGGCTCCTTGGCCACTAGCCTCCTGCCCTATCACTCCTTTTAAGAAGATAATAGCACAAATAAAAGTCTTACGTAAAGAGCCTTACAGATATTTGCTCTGGGGACTGATGACCACCATATACAAGTGGGGTTTCCTGCAGCCTTACACCAGCTCCTCCTGAACGTTCCCTTCTGTTCTGGTTTAGGTGTGTGTGCTGGGAGCAGTCCCCTAGAGCTGCTGGTCTAGCAAGCAAGGGGCTAGGGAACTGTGCAACTATCTAGGAAGTCTGCTGAGCCACGCACCTCCTTTTCTTTACTCCTGGCCCTCTTACTGAGAAAGGGAGGAGAGGGAGCAGGTCCCTAGGGAGGAGGTTCCTGCAGCAGTGGAGCGGAGTCCCATTTTGCTCCTGTCAATGGTGAAGTTATCATCTCACTGGTACTGTGACAGCTTTGATGGTGGTCATTTTGGCTATGGTGGTGGGTCAAACAGCAATCGAGACCACAGGCACAGAGCAATCATGCCATGGGCAACAGCTGTGACCAATGATCATCAGCTTTCCCCTTCACTTCCTCAGGGACATCTGAGGCAGGTGGATTGGATTGGGTCCACCAAGATCTAGCAGGGATGGGAAAGAAAAACAATAGCAAACAGGTGGGGAAAAGGCCCATGACCTCATAGCAGTGTAAAGCATGGAACAAGATCGGTTAAGAAAGGAAGGATGGGGAGTGGAAGGGAGGGGAGGGGCAGCGCTAGCTGCATATTTATGTTTACCCTGCTGCTATTCTGGTTTTTGTTAAGTTCTCTTTTTTTGGGAAGAATGAAAGTCGTGCCTTGTTTCAGAGTGTCTGAGCTCAGGAACTAGGGAGGGGTCCTGGAGGACTGTGGGCCGGAGACACTGGGGGAATAACAAAGTAAGGAGAGATCATGGTACTGGGGAGAAGGGCAGGAAACATGAGAAGAACAGTGATCCTACATGGAGCCAGAAGCAGATACACAGCCTCAGCCTTTGAGGGAGAAACAAACTCTGTCCCAGGAATCTTCAGCAAATGGCTGGACCAGAAAGGAAAGGAAGAGCACTGCAAGGACATAGCAGATGGGGGAGATGAGATTTTAAAGTATTTATTTAATCCACCTCATCCAGCACACGATCTGTAGAGAGCAGCCAGAAAAAACTCCCCTGAAGGGTCTGTGCACCCCAAGCCTGTGTAAACTGGGCCTCTACTGGGCAATTTTAACACCTCCAAACCTAGAAACTGCCTCTTTGCTGTGAGAATACGGGATGGAGAGTTTGGGAAAGAAAAGGGAGGTCAAAGAGGGACTGGAAAAAGTGTAAAGGTGGTGAGGTGGAAAGTCAGGTGGTCTGAAAAAGCTGGGGAAGGAGTTTAGTGGTGGCAGCCAGTGAGGCTGGCACAACGAAATAGAATGCATGAGGAAGGGGAACTTGCACCAGACAAGCAGGCACAGCTGGATTAGAAATGGAATTAGGATGGACTGGTTGCGGATGAGAGGTGTGAAAGGAGTAGCACAAGTCTGACTGGCAAGGGATCTGGGATGACAACCCTGAGGAGGAAGGATTACTCTAAGAATTGTCTGCAAACAGGTGGCTTTAGAGAAACTTTCTGTACCAGTGTAGGCTACTGAAAGAAACCAGCCTGAGATGCCTTAAATCCGCTAAGACTAAAGAAGCCATCTGATGGTAATTGCACACAGTCACCGTTGACCTGGACACAGTCCCAGTACTGGCCTTAAGTCCTAAGCCTCAGAAAATGGGCTGCCAGTGCCTTCCTTGTGTTGCAATGGTCATTTTTCTCTATCATTCTGGATTGGAAGGCCAATCTTTGCTTGATGCTTTGTTTCATGACATTAGTTTCCAAATCCAGCACAAATCTCTGCTAAGCTAGTTCTTATTGTTTCCAAATTTTGTTAAACACTCTCCAGTACAAGCCTTTCCTTGTTCCTTTGGTTCTCTTCCATGTAGACAGGGTACTTCAGCCCTTTCCTCATTGTCGCTTTTCTTCTACAGTCTCTTTTTCCCCTAAGGAGGAGATCTCACTGCTTTTCCTGAGGCTCACTGCTAGGCTGGGATGAATCTGGTAGCCTGACAGGGGGAGGCTGCCACAGTTCCATGCCCCCTGACCAACCGGTAGCAAGGCTGAGATTGTATTCCCAGTAGACACACATATATACAATGCCTGTATACATATATATACAGCCGACCACACAGATCAATGCTGACAGACGCACCCACCACTCACACAAATAGAAACAGCACCAATGGCCTCATTTTGTGTCCCTCTCTGGCTGAACTGGATGAAGGTTCAATAGCGGGAAATGTATGTATACATATGTACAATGTGCATCCTTTCCATAGCTGTGCTTAGACACTGAGACTGCCCAGTAGCTGCCCCTGGATCGCAGTCACCACATTTGCCGGCACCTGGACCTATGAGCCCCCAAGTCCTGCAGTCCCAGTCCAATAGCTGGTACGTGCACGTGCACCCCACACAACCCCCTCTCCAATAGGTGTCTGGGACTCCCCTGCTCCCTCTGGTTGCCACCTCCCACTGGTCTTGCCATTAGAGATACACCTGGAACCCAAGTCACTTCATTTACTTGCCAGCTAGTCTGGCTTCATATTCACTAATGATCACACACACTCACATACCGTCCCTTGCCCCAGCTGCTGGCATGATGAACACATAGCCACTCTTACCTGTGGTTGTACTCCAGTTTCTGGTGCTTAAGATCACGCACTCTCCAGTAGCTGGTAACTGTGGTGTGACTCCAGGTCCCAGCACTTAGACCTCCTTACACAAAACACATGCGCACAGAATAGACAGTCCCTCCCTCAGGGAAATACTTAGAAACGGAATTTAATAAGACATTGTTGTGGTTTAACCCCAGCCAGCAACTAAACACCACACAGCCGCTCGCTCACCCCCCCGTCTCTGGTGGGATGGGGGAGAGAATCAGGAGGGCACAAGCAGGAAAACTGGTGGGTTGAGATAAAAACAGTTTAATAATTGAAATAAAATGAAATAGAACAATAATAACAATGATAACAACAACAATAACAGAATAAACAAAGCAGGCAATGCACAATGCAACTGCTCACTGACCACTGAATGCGTGTCACAAACGGGCTGAGCCCCCCCACCAACTAGTTTTTATACTGAGCATGATGTTAATACCCCATTGGCCAGCTGGGTCAAACACCCCAACTAGGCTCCCCCCGACACAGCTTCCCCTGCACTTGGCGGGGCATGGGAGGCCGAAAAGAGAAACAGAAAGTCCCCAGTGCAAGCATCACTCAGCAACAACCAAAGCATCAATAGGCCATCAACGCTCTTCTCATACCAAACCCGAAACACAGCACACCGCCCAAGCTACTGGGAAGAAAGCTAACTCTGTACTAGCCGGAACCAGGACAGACACAGATACACTGAGCTAAGAAGGCATAAGGCATATCCAGACAAGCATACTCACCAGCAACCTGTTTACCTGTGACTGGCCCCTTTTATAACTATTCCTCTATTTTCCTTCATCTGTTCTTTGCCAAATCCAGTAGTTCAGGGTCTTATTTGGGAAGCTCAACCATACCTGCCTTTATCTTGGTACTTTCTTGTTTTTGCTTGTTCCTTCTTTAATCTTAAAAGAAAATAGACTGAAATAATTAGATGTTTTGAAGTGAAAAACAAAAGACCTGTCAATCTAGCTACTCTTCAGAAGGCAGCAACATCTTACGCAATTCCTGAGAGACACACTAGAGGTCCTGAGTTTTATCTTCCAGATACTTCCTTCTTTCAGAGAGTGTGCAATCCTTTCTGTTTCCTGAGAGAGAAAAGTTACTCTGAATAAAAATCTTCATCGCGGAATGAGTAATAAATTCTCTAATGACTAGAGAAGAATGTGCAGCCCAGCTGCACTGAAATGATTTTGCTTTGTCTCAGAGTTCTTACACAGCGTAATCTTAGAATTAATTTCCACAGTCTCCATAGTCTGTTCCATTTCCCATCAAGTCTCTGAAATAGTTTCTCTCTCCAGGACTTGAGGTCTGATTACAACTGGAAGAAAAGGTTTTTAAGAGGTCCAGCAGACAGACAATAATTAAACTAAAAATCCTGTAGCGTCTCCATGCACAAGATATGTAAGGGTCATTTTAGGACATTCATCAAAACAGCAGTGTACCATGGAACTGTCTCAACATGGCCCGTGGCACTATCTCAAGGTGTCCCATCCTAGCAGTAAGGTGAAAGGGCAAAATGTCAATAAATTCAGATGGAGAACAAGCAAAATCAAGACAAGACTTGCATGAAAGATAAAAAAGAACAATAGTTTCTGGGGAGTAAATGCTAAAAATATGCATCTTCTTTGTCAGCATAATCTTTGTCAAAACCATAAAAGACTATAAAGGCATATTAAATTTGATCAAACTAATTTGCTAACTGCTGTATGGACTTTGAAAGCAGCACAAAAATTCAAAGAAAAATGTAAAAGATATGGAAGGTAATTAAAAAAAAATTCTGTATTGTCTAGAATTCCTTGACAAGTCACTGAAACTGTAATACATCCAGCACAAGGCTCAACCTCACTGGAGCACAGGTAAGGAATAATTTCTTGTGACAAAACCTGCAGTGGCAAGGACTGGCAGGGACTGAACAGGACTCATGGTCAAAAACCTTACTTCTCATATGCTAAGTGTCCATGACACTGGAGATCATACAAAACTTTTATACATCATATAGAATATATTTTCTTTCCTGTCTGGGATGAAGCTATAGCTTCTCAGGTAATTTCTAATAACTTCTTAAAAAAGCAGGATTAAAAAAGTGAGATAGGGCAAATTCACTACCAAAATTTTTGAGATTCATGCTGGTCTGAATCCTGGTATGACCCTAGGGACTCAGCATTAGGCCCAGAGAAAGTACAATATCACCAGGCTCACAGACAGAACATGCCTTTTCTACAAATATATAAAGGTCAAGGGAAGATATGACTTTCTCTAGAGCTTCAGGAAAATATGGGAGGGGGGATATCAACAAAATGGGAAGAAAAAGAGAAAAATAGTAATATTGCTTATTGTTTGGAAGATGCAGTATCAGGATTACTGAAGAAGATAATTGAAACTAAGTATGTATATTTAATTCAAAGTACTAGCGAGAAAAGGATCAGATTGGACTGTCTCTTCTCTACCCAAGCCTGATGGAAAAATCAGAACAAGGGGAGGGGCATCAGTCTCTCTAGCCTCTTCTCACTTAACTCACTGAGCACTAACACATTGTTCTGGGACAACTGACGGGCCATGCTGACTGTTTTGCTTGCTCTTTTACCTGGTGAGAAACAACAGACCCATCTGCAGCACAGCTCTCATCCAGGCCATGCAGGACTGGTGTGAGGTAAAGGACCCTTTTTGGCCGCCATTTGTACTTCTTCTCCTCCCTCTCTCTTTTTTCTCTCTCACTCATGCAGGTGCTGGGGTTGGAAACCTCATCACACAGTGGCCAGAAGAAATGCTTAAGAGAGCTGGAGATACTGTGGACATCGCCTGCTACCAGAATTATACCACACTTGCCTATATGTTCTGGTACCAGCAGCCTCCAAGAAATGGTCTGAAGTTAGTAGCCAGTACTTCTACATGGATGCAGAATTCTTACGAGGAAGGTTACAGTGAGGCCAAGTTTGAGATAAACAGAGACAATAATGATCACTCAGTGATGACTATCAAGAATGTGACATCCAAGGATGCAGCCACGTATTTCTGTGCTGCGAGTGATCACACGGTACAGTGAGGGGGTTGAGCACTAAGATAAAATCCCCGCCTTGTCTGAGTGAGAGATGGAGTCTCTGAAAAATGTGAGTGAGGCAGATTGGAGAGGGGCAGAGGAAGAGCAGAAGAAAGACAAGGAAAAACTGGGGGAATAGAGCCAGGACTTTTTGGAGGGAAGAGGCACAGACAAAGCAGTGCAGCAGCATCTAGCTTCAAAGACAAAAAGCCTTCAGAAATACAAACCATAGATCAGCTTTAAGAATTGAGGCACTGCTGATGTGGTTAGTGAAAGGCAGCAGATACTTCCTGGGATTGGTGCACAGACATGTTCTGGGCCACTAGTTCCCCATGGACCCCACCATAGCACCAAGAAAAGAGTATAAAGCAGAAGGAGAATTCAAGGTTCTTCCACATACTGATGAGCCACCCAAAGACAGAGGTGCCCAATGAGAGATTGGTTGGTGTGGGAGGAGAGCGCAGCCTCTGATTATGGACATAGGAGGATGGCACCAGTACAGGTGGGAGGAAACATGCCCAGGGGACCAGGCATACCTTCCATTGTGGAAGGGACAGCCCTCTGGCAGCTTTACAAGAAACAGTGTGCCCTGCAGCACTTTCATTTATCTGTTCCAAACACCACTTAATTGCAGGATCCCTCTCTTCCTTGCCACAGAAATGCATACAGTTCTGAGCTGGACCAAGGCATCTCTTCATGGCAAAAAACCTCATGGGCAGGGAAAGGCAACCACAAAAAGCTGCCATCACCTGGTGCTCCCCTTGTAAGGGACAGCTGAAGGCAGAAATTGCCTCCCATTTTGCCTCTGTCTTCATTGCTTGCAGAGACGAGCTTTTGATGAACTAATTGCTCTTCTGTGACAGGCCTGGGAAAAGTGAAGGCAGGGTATTATTAGCGTTCCCCCACCTACCATTGCCTGTCTGTGCTCCTGACTTTTATCGCATAACCTAAGACTTACCTTTTCTTCAAAGAAAGGGAAACAGCACATAAAAGAGTAAAAGGTATCTTTAAGAAAGTATGGCCATTTGTGTACTTTGGGCTTCTGTTTTTAGGTCATGTCTTTGACATTCTGCATAATATTGAGCACCAACAAATTGTTTGTCTCATATGCTCATATGGAAGACATAGCATATGAAGCACATAACTATCATAGGGAGCAAATGTACTATACTGCTCACTGATGTGGCAAAACTGGGTATGCTGAAGTGAAACAGACTATTTGATTACACCAAAAAAGGAGTGGAGGTGATGAGAATAGCTGCTGAGAGCAAGGAGCAGGAATCAGCTGAGAGCAGGTCCTGTAAAAGATCCTGTCCTGGTTTCAGCTAGGATAGAGTTAATTTTCTTCTTAGTAGCTGGTATAGTACTGTGCTTTGGATTTAGGATGAGAATAATATTGATAACACACTGATGTTGCTGAGCAGTGCTTACACTAAGTCAAGGACTTTTCAGCTTTTCATACTGCCCTGTCAGCAAGGAGGCTGGAGGTGTACAAGAAGGTGGGAGGGGACACAGCCAGCACAGCTGATCCAAACTGGCCAAAGGGATATTCCATTCCATATGACATCATACTGAACAAAAAAACTGGGGGGAGTTGGCCGGTTTGTGAAAACAAACTTATCAGTAGACTTCAACATTCAGCAGACTAATGAGCTGGCTATTGAGCTGTGAAAATTCCAGGTGGTAGTAAAAAACCACAGAGATCTCTAATGGTCATTGCCATCTTGAAGTTCTGCAGTCACAGTTCCCTGTTCCAGCTCTGAGGTACAATTTTCTCCTGTGCAGTACTACTTTGCCAGCTTGAAGTGGCACTGCACAAAAAGCAGCTATTCTAAGAAGTTTCTCATGAAAGAGCTACTCTCCTTATCGCACTCCCCGCCTCATATTTATTCTCCTTCATCTCCTGCTGTAAAAGGTGGCAAGAGAGCTATAGCTACATAAACCATAGTCAAAGGTACTTGTTTTAGATGCTCAGCAGTGGCATCTCAGGCACATCTGTGTAAATAGCTGTATATTCGTAATGAATAGCACTTTGTCAATAATAGGCTACCTGCAGTCTAGAGGTTATATTGGCTACTTAAAAGATAAGATGGTGGAAGGAGGATGTGTAAAGTCATATCTCTATGCAGATAATGATGCTATACTATGTGATGTGGTCATCCTGCAACTACTGGGAGGGTTTCATAGAATCAGAGAGTCGGAGAATCACAGAATGTTGAGGTTAGAAGGATCCTCTGAATGTCACCTTGCCCAAACCCCCTGCTCAAGCAGGGCCACCTAGAGCCAGTGGCCTAAGACTGTGTCTAGGCAGCTTTTGAATACCTCTAAGCATGGAGACTCCACAACCTCCCTAGGCAACCTATTCCAATGCTCAATCACCCTCACAGTAAAAAAGTGATTCCTTGTGTTCAAAAGGAACCTCCTGCATTTCAGTTTGTGTCCATTGTCTCTGGTCCTGTCACTGTTCTCCTTCATCTCCTGCTGTAAAAGGTGGCAAGAGAGCTATAGCTACATAAACCATAGTCAAAGGTACTTGTTTTAGATGCTCAGCAGTGGCATCTCAGGCACATCTGTGTAAATAGCTGTATATTCGTAATGAATAGCACTTTGTCAATAATAGGCTACCTGCAGTCTAGAGGTTATATTGGCTACTTAAAAGATAAGATGGTGGAAGGAGGATGTGTAAAGTCATATCTCTATGCAGATAATGATGCTATACTATGTGATGTGGTCATCCTGCAACTACTGGGAGGGTTTCATAGAATCAGAGAGTCGGAGAATCACAGAATGTTGAGGTTAGAAGGATCCTCTGAATGTCACCTTGCCCAAACCCCCTGCTCAAGCAGGGCCACCTAGAGCCAGTGGCCTAAGACTGTGTCTAGGCAGCTTTTGAATACCTCTAAGCATGGAGACTCCACAACCTCCCTAGGCAACCTATTCCAATGCTCAATCACCCTCACAGTAAAAAAGTGATTCCTTGTGTTCAAAAGGAACCTCCTGCATTTCAGTTTGTGTCCATTGTCTCTGGTCCTGTCACTGGGCACCACTGAAAAAAGCCTGTCTCCTTCCTCTTTGGACTCTCCCTTCAGGTACTTATATACGTTAATCAGATCCCTCCTAAGCCGCCTCTCTCTAGGCTAAACAGTCCCAGCTCTCTCAGCCTCTCTTCCTATGTGTGGTGCTCTAGTCCCTTAATCATCTTTGTGGCCCTTTGCTGGACTCTCTCCAGTATGTCCATGTCTCTCTTGTACTGGGGAGCCCAGAACCGGACACAGGACTCCAAGTGTGGCCTCACCAGAGTTGAGTAGAGAGGAAGGATCACCTCTCTCGACCTGCTGGCAATATTTTAATGCAGCCCAGGATACCATTCGCCTTCTTTGCAGTAAAGGCACATTGCAGGCTCATGTTCAACTTGCTGTCCACCGGGAGCCCCAGGTCCTTTTCTGCCATGCTGCTTTCCAGCTGGGTTGCCCCCAGCATATATTGATTCATGGGATTATTCCTGCCCAGGTGTAGGACTTTGCACTTCCCCTTGTTGAACTTCATGAGGTTATTGTTGGCCCATTTCTCCAGCCTGTTGAGGTCCCTTTGGATGGCAGCATGACCCTGTGGTGTACCAGCCAATCCTCCCAGTTTGGTGTTGTCTGCAAAGTTGCTGGCCCATCATCCAGATCATTAATGAATGTTAAACAGAAGATGTTTCCCACCACAGCTGCTGTTTCTCAAGCTTCCTGTGAGACAAGAACTGACTCAGAACAGAAATAACAGGACATAAAACCTTTTGTTAATCATCCAATACAGGCATTGGATTGGGAGCAGAAGATGAATATTTGGGAAGCAATATTGTTCTTCAGTGGAACAACTTGGGCCAAATCAAATGGCCTCTAACAAGAAGCTTGAGTAAACACAGGCTGGAAGGGAAACAAAGGGAAGGAAATATACATACATAGGATGGTATAGCATCACTATCTGCATAGGGATGTGTATTGGGTCTGGCTGGGATGGAATTAACTTTCCCAATAGCAGCCCTCATAGTGCTGTACTTTGTAGCTAGAAAGATGTTGATAAGATACCAGTTTTTTGGCTACTGTTGAGCAGTGCTTGCATAGTATCAAGGCTGTCTCTCCAACCACTGCCCACCCGCCCCCGCCCTGCCCCTGCTCCAAAGGCTGGGGCTGGGCAAGAGGTTGGGAGGGGACACAGCCAGAACAGCTGACCCAATCTGACCAAAGGGATATTCCATACCATATGATGTCATGCTCAGCAATAAAAAGCTAGGAGAAAGGAGGAGGAGAGGGGACATTCGTTATTAAGGTATTTATCTTCCAGAGTACCACTACGTGTACTGAGGTGCTACCTCCCAGCAAGTGGCTGAATATCACCTGCTGATGTGAAGCAGAGAAAAAATCTTTTTGTTTTCCTTTGCTTCTGCACGCGGCCTTTGCTTTTTCTTTATTAAACTGCCTTTAGCTTGACCCATGAGTTCTTTTTCATCTTATTTTCTCTCCCCCCACCCTCCCTCCTGCACTGAGGAGGTGGAGTGGTAGAGGGGCTTGGTGGGCACCTGGCAGCCAGCCAAGGTAAACCCACCACAGGATGTGATTTTACACATCCTCTCCTTCCCTCTTAGTACACAGATATGACCTGAAAAGGGGCTGTTGCTTAATTTTAGGGGTTCACGGTCAAAAGTACTGATGTTTATGAAAAGAACTTCCTAGTGTCCCTAAAACAAATCTGTAAAGCTCAGGGCATCTCTGTAGTTCTGCCTGCTTCTTTGTAGATTCTTCTTCGTGGCTCCTTCTGTAAACTCTAAAGAAGAATCCAGGACTGATGTAAGTGATACAATCATTACTCTCCTGTGAAATTCTCCCACTAAAATGATACCTTGTTAGAAAATATGTCCCTAAATGTCGCTTGCTTGCATATTTTCAAGCTTAGCCCATGAAGTCTCCTGTAAGAGACATGGAAATAAAAATCGAGGCACTGTCTTTCCTCTTGTCTCTCCCTCTTACTCATTTGAATTCATGGCCTACAAGGCCTTTCCTTTTGACAGGTTACAGATGAACATTAAAGTGGGACAAGACTGGTCTCTGCTGGCATGTCTTGGAAATTGCCTTATGAACATGCCCTGAGGAAATGTTAACACCACATAGACACACCCCTTCAAAATTAATACAGAGGTGATTTGCTTGTTTTTAAACGAAAGACACCATATGGGAGACAGTCTGTTAGTGACAGTAAGGACACTAATGGAGCTGGAGACTGGAGAAAGAGACAGAATAATCTTAAATTAATTTTAGTAGAATGGTTTTAGACCCTGAATAAACAGTGCTGAGATCAGAGGGAGACTAAGACCAAGGTGGGCAAATAATAGCCCACTGTTAGTGTTATTATTTAGGCAGAGCCAGACAAATAAAATACTAAATGTATTTTTAAAAAGATTTCAGTCTAAACAAAGACAAATGTCTGCAGTAATTCCCATAATTAGTGACTTAAACACACAGTTTTGTTGTTGTAGAAGAGAGGATACTGCAGGGGCCCCTGAGATCACCTGTCCAATATCTTGCCTTCTGTAGTCCTATGTCTTGGTCCTAAATGTTTCAGCATCGTCTGTGTTTCTCATTCCCTTCCCTAGGACACTAACAGCTCTTCCCATCTGAACAGGCTGTGTAAGAAACTATGAGTTCTTCTGTGATATCTGAAAAGAAGAAAAAATAATTTGTGATTTTCCTAGCAGAATTACCTTGTTTCGAAGTATTGTGTCCTGCACTTAAAGTCTATTTTTTATATCAAGACAGATTGAAGTGAAACCATTAAAGAGCAATATGAACAACATGTTTACTGCAGGTACTTGGTCATGTTGCTGACTATGTGTTGACCTGTTATGTGAGAAGACTAGGCCAGTATGGGCTGCGTATGCCCCAAACCTAAACTGGTTTGTTCACGTGCCTGCCTTTCCCTGTATTGCCTCAATGTGTGCTGGTACACACAGTCTCACTGGCACAGATCTTTCCCTCTTGGGAGTGACATCGTACCTGGACAAACCTATGGGGGAAAGAAAAATACTGGTTTGTGTCTCCATTTAGTTATGTGTAAAGGAGGGAGATAAAAGTATCCTGTTACCTGTCACTGCCAGTCCTCACTCCCTTCAGACAGTCTCCAAAATGAAGGCACGCTCTTATTTGTAGCTGAAGCCTTTTCATAGTCAGGGTCACAGGCACCTGGGAGAAGCTTGTACTTCTGCTTCTTGTAACAGGGCAGTCAGAGGAATACAAACTTAAGAGATCAGCATCCTACTTCCCTCCCTTTCAGAGCAACCACGACAAGTGCAGCACAGACCAAAGAGGATATTCACAATCAGGCCAGGCTACAAACAGAAACACCAGTCTGTAGCAAGCAAATCGCTCTCAGTGCAAACCAGTTACTGTGGGCTTGAGGTCTGTTTATGATCCTGGGGCAGAAGAAAAAGAGGGTGAGAAGGCAAGCAGCATGAACAATGTCATGAAGTTACCAATTGAAAAATAAGTGCATTTAAAACCAGATAATAAAAGAAAAAAAATATTACTTTTTTGTCTATAGGAAAAAAATGTCAGGATTATAAATTCAGGGGTAATGGATACACTAAAAGGTAATCAGACCACCACAGAGAAACAGCAATGGCAGAGGAAGGATGTGGCCTGTGGTTCCCATGGCAATCTTTCATGGTGACTGGGTGACAAAAATGGGACAGCAGAGCCATAGGTGGGATTGTTTTTGTACGAGGTTGTATCGTTGTGGGGACAGGTGATCCACAATGATACATTCCCCACGAGGCCTTTACAAAAACCCGTATGTGCATAAGCCTTATGGGAGAGTGTGTTAAGACAGCTACAGAGAATTCTGCAGCACAGCGGGCATGTTCTGTCTTGTTTTTTCTTGACAGACCTAGTATGCTAGGATTTGCTTTCATCATCTGAGAACTGAGCCTGCCCTTTCTGGAAAACAAGCCAGGAGATTTTGAGACATTGAAATAATTTTCAGCAAACCAGATTGACTGCAGATGCACCTAAAACCTATCAGAGTATGTGAAGAAAAGAATTAATTTTTTTTTTCTGATGTGATAGTGTTTCGGTCTTTATTAATGTGATAAATGTGTAAGAAAAAGAATTCTGACACGAAGCATGTGTCTCTCAGAGGCACTGCATAAAATGTGTTTGGGTTTTCTCTCTTAAATAAGTCTCCAGTGTCCACTGACTGACTCATGCTTGTAAGCACAAAGGTTTTCTCTAACCCTTCTCCACACTGTCTCACTGCAGTTCTTCCTAATGGATATCAAGGGTTTGCTTGAGACCAGCCAGCTGGTCTCTGGACTCTGGACTCTCCTTGTGTGGATTACTTTTAACCTACCAGAAAACTAAATGGGATCCTGAAGGACTATTCAAGATGGCTGGCCTGCCATTGAAGGGAAAACCAATGGATTTGTTTTAGTTCAGTGCCACAAAGGCAAACCACCTATATGAAAGGCATGTGACTATGACAACAACAAAGCAAGTATTATTTGATTATTAACTCCACAAGTTACAGGAAGGAAGGCTTCACAATGCTTAGAGTACAAGACTGACATTAAGGAAGCTGTAGTTGTACATGAATTATATTTCTAGACAATGACAGCCTCTACCACTTTGGGTACGTCTGCATGGTTTCTACATCTGCAAAACAAGAACAGCAGGTAATATCAATGAGATAACATGGAGATTAGAGAAAGGTTGTAAAACAACTTGTGAAATGTAGACAACAAAAATAAGTACCAAAAAACTCTGGGGAATGCTTTTATAAATGCTACAGATTATACAATGGGATTTCAAGCTGGTGTTCTGCCACAGCACTTCAGACAGAGATTGAGGGATCTTTGGGATTCCAGGTACAGTAAACATTGCTTAAGCTTCTGCTTACTGAAGTAAAACTGCAGTGCATCCCTTTTCTTAGCTTATGATACAACACTTTGTCACCGTGACCATCAATAACATGATTTTCGGCGATGGCACAAGACTTACAGTAATGGGTAAGAAATTTTTGTTTTCTCTTTTAAATAATTTCAAATTCCAAGTCTTCTCTTTAGAGAACTTCACTTCAACCTTATTCTCCCTTTCATGATTAAATTGGTGTTTTCCTGATGTGCTAGTAACCCAGTCTACTTTGGAGAATAGGCTAAGTTTAGTATTCTAGGTAGGGACACACATTTCACTTTGGAGAACTGAATGAATGCATTTTCAGTGAATAAAAAGCTGTCCATAGAAAGAATTAGGATGAGGAATGGGTTAAAAATATGTGCATGTCATAAATATATTGTCTTAATAAATCGACATCTGCAAAAATCACTATTCCCCAAAAGTATAACTATTCTCCCTAATGCTAGTTCTCCTGGGGCTACAGGTGATTAAGGACAAGTCCATGAAAGGCTATCTGTCTGGAAAGAACTGAGTTACAGTTATACTTTGGACAGGTCTAGAAAATAAAATCAAGACTCTACAAACTTAAATTACTTTGGATCTTTTCAGGGTAAACTAAAGCATGTGTTATCTCAGATAACTGCGAAAGACAAATAAATGTACTAGCATTTTTAATTGACAAATTAGAAGCCACAAATAAATACCCAACTTTATCATAAAGAATACTAACAGCTCTCTGCAGCTGTTTAATTCCTTGTTTTTATAGAAAACAACTCTCCCCAGCACAGCAAGTATCTCTCCACAAAACAGGCTTGTCAGGATGGTGATAAAAAGATCATTTAGGACAATGGTCTTACTATTTCAGAATAGAGGCTAAAAGGCCACTGAAAACCACAGAAACAGAATATGCGGTTCATTTCAAATAAAAGTAGCTCTCAGGGAATGTTTCTCTCTGGGTCACACTTCTGGATTTGGACTCTCTCCAAATCCAGGGGAAAACCATGCTGCTTCTAAGACTCTGACAAATAATGGTAATCTCTTCTTCTCATTGTATTGCTCCTGGAGTCAGAAGAATGGTGTATCACACCATTCTGCTGCAGAGTAAAATGATTACAAGGGATAAAATTCAATCTCTATACGAAAAATTCAGTGATTAGCACATTTTTTGTGTCATTGACCATAGTCAATTATGCAGCTAACTTTAATAATCATAGCTAAGAGACCAGAGGCATTAAAAGCAAAAACTTCTTTCCAGGGAAGGAGAAAGGGAGGGATGTTTAGGAACTGCTACAATGGGGATAGTGGACCAGGGTCCTGTGTTATATATTACAAGTTATTTTGTAAAAAAAAAAGGACAGTTATTTTACAAGAGAAGAATATTCATGATGTTGAAAGGAAATGAGTAAAATAAGGAAATGAGGCTGTTCAGTTGAAAATAAGCACAGAAAATTACTCTGTCTGCATATGGGAATATTTTCTAATAGCACACCTAGATAAATAGATAAATGTCCTCTAAAGAAATGGTGAAAGCTGCAACAACCTATTCACCTAAGCCTGAAGCAAAAGGAATCTGGAAGAGGTATTTCTGAGATTGATCTCATCTGGTTGGAAACACAGATGTGGTGGTGTTTCCTTACAGACCTTCCTTTTTTTTTTAGGGGACCATAAATTAATATACTTTGTGTTTCTTCTTTTGCTGGTACCGCATGAAGGGAAGGTTAGTCCACAGGTTTGGCTCAGAGCACAGAGAGTAGAGGAGAGGTTTTCCTGCAGCTGCAAAACAGTGTGAATAATGAAAGACTGTACTTTGGCAGCGGGACAAAACTCAAAGTCCTAGGTAAGACAGAAGTCAGATCTCCGTGATATATGTGATACTGGTTTAGGGGACAAGAGCATTCTTAATTAACAGCAGAATAATGATCATTTTTCATACAGCCATGAGGACAGGATTAATGCTTTATTGGTTGCTTATTAAAATGAGATGTGCTAATATAGAAGTGTAGGATTTGCAGGCACGAATTTTGAGATCCTTGTGTCCATTGGCTCTATCTTCCCCTACTAGGTTTTTTTTAAAAGGAAGAAATAATTCTGTTTCCTCCCATTCTCCAAGAAAACATTACAGAGGTTGGGAATGAAATATCCTTCTTCGGTTTGCAAGTTTTTACAGTTCTTCTATGTAACAATCAAAACCAATGTTGCAGAGGTAGAGTTTGGGTTCTTGTACCTGCTGAATCAGGCAGGGACAGAGTAGTCTTGCTGGTACTTTTCTCCCCTCTCCATAGATGGTGGGCAGGCTGCCTGAAGTTGCTTTGGGACACTGGCTTCCTCTAACAGTCCTTTTCATGACTTCTAATTCCCAAAAAGGTCTATATTGTTTTTCTCTCAGTGCACTTTTCTCCTCTATTCTTTCTCTTTTTCCCCATTTGCTTTCTCTACCTTCTCCCCTCCCAGGAAAGGACTTAACATCACCTATATCAAGGCATTTTGGAATCACAGGGCAAAATAACCTTTTCCATCTGCTGCTGCCACATCTGATAGAAATACACATTGGTGCCTGCTCCTTTAAACAGTACCATTTTAAGGAACTAAGTGGCTGGCAAGAAGAGCATAATGACACTGCAGGTTATAGTCTGATCTTGTACAGCTGTGCTTTTTAACTGTGCTACGTACCTTTGGAGTTGTCGCTGTGCTCACAGTTATAAGTAAGTAGCTGTGATTAACCCAAGTGCTCAGTGTGGAGGACACTTGAAAATTTCTGTTGCATTAATGGTATCTAGCATATACACAGATGATTTTAAAATGAGAGTAGGAGTGAGACATAACAAGAAATCATGAAACTGACCTTGCCGTGATAGGAATGGAAGAACTGTGGTACTTTTTCTCTTAGGTGGGTTAAAAATGTGTGACAGGGAATGCATGAGTTTATGCATGGAAGTGATTAAGCATTGTGCCAGTGTCTGCCATGAATACTGTGGAAGATCAGAACAGAATGGGCTGTTGACAACACTTTTTTCTGATTGTCTCTGCTCTTGCTTGTACCAATCTCCTTTTTTCATTTCAGGCATGCTCATTCTCTAGCTTTCTTTGTCTTTCCAGTAGTTTTATCATTCTTTCTGTCTGCCTTTTCCACCGGCCTTCCTCTCTGTCTTTTTTTGTTTCCGTCTGTTAAATTGCTCTTATTTTTCTTTTGGGTCCTCCCTATCTGTTTCCACGTCTTCACTCACTAGCCGTTTAGGCTATGAGACAATGAACTTATGTCAGAGATACTTTTAGGATAGGAAAAAAATTCATAAAGCCAAGTACTAGAAAGGAGCAGTAAAAGTGATCAACCTCTCCTCATGTCCACTGGAAGGAAAGCAAAGCAGTTCCAAACCTTCTAGGAAGTTATCTCCATTACTATCTAGTTACCTCTTCTGAAGTCTGTACAAGCTCACACATTTTCACAGAAGCACCCCAGGGATCTTTGTAGAGTAAGCACTGACAATCATGATTAAGGCTAACAGTTGAAATTAAACACTAGGGCTTAGGGGTCAAGATCTATGCAAGGTATAAGTTTCTGCTAATTCTGCTAATTCTCTCCACTCTAGAAAGGAAGGAGTGATCAGGAAGAACATCTACAATTTATAGTGCCTTCACACCGAAAAAAGTAAAAGTTTTCTCTTTGGGTCCATAGTTCTCTCTGCATTTCTGTTTCCAGGTGCACTCTGCAGACCCGGTGGATTTATCATACTAGATGAGTAAAAAAGACACTCTAATAAAGTATATGGAAAAAAATGGTGGCTTTTAGGGTCACTGCCTAGCTTTTAAGTAATATCTCATTGTTGCCTTGTACTTCCTTTTGACTGTAGAAGTCTGTTGTCTTTAGTCTTATATGTAGGTATTAAACTAGGACAGGGGACATATTTTGGTTTGTGAGTATATAGAAGCTTGCATCATTTTGGGAAGATGTATAGTCTAGGATGAAGGCTTCTCATACCTAGGATAACCTAAATAATAAATAACATAAAGAGATATTTCATAGTCTTGAAAAAGGATGGCAAGTTAAGACCTAAAGCAAAACTTGTCCCAGGCAGATGCAAGTTACCTACCTAAAGTGTTCTTCACTTCAGACAGTGAGAAAGATTAGCTCCTTCCTTTCAAGTCACTCTTAGATGGGGGGCTGAGGGGTGTGCAGATAGGGTACCACATGGCACTATAATTCTGAACACTGCAATAACCATTATGTCTTACTACATCTCCAGGAATGTAATGCAGTCAATTGAAGATACTTGTGCTTTATAACACAGACTCTTACCTATTAGTACAGTATTACAAATACAGGCGTTATAGCACTACTGGGTACTTTTCTGCCTACCTTTTTGCTCAGCTTCTTTTCAGCTTTCCTATTCTTCTGACAGAGACGATGCTAGAAATTCAAACACTCGTGCATTTCTGTACCCAGACCTTTTATGTTTCTGTGCAATGAGTGAAGACAAATGCTTTCAGTTTCCTGGTGTCTACCTATCTAATAGATACTAATTGTCTAATAGAGAGTTGTTAAAAGGCCAGAGTCACACAGCACAAATACAGTACAATTTTAAGGGGTTTCTGTTTGAAGACAGTAATGGAGGTTCCGGGCCATATTGCTTTCTGTTTCAGGGAAGAACGATGAAATCATACCTCCAGCTGTGGCCATCTTTTCCCCGTCAAAGCAAGAGATCCAACAGAAGAGCAAGGCCACGCTGGTATGCCTGGCTTCTGGTTTCTACCCTGACCACCTGAATCTGGTCTGGAAGGTGAATGGTGCTAAGAGGACAGAAGGTTTGGGGACAGATGAGTTTTCCACACGGAATGGGAGTACCTATTCATTGACCAGCCGCCTGAGGATCTCAGCCCAGGAATGGTTCAACCCTTTAAACCGTTTTGAGTGTGTTGCCAATTTTTTTAAGAATGACACACTGGAATCAATACACAAATTAATCTACGGTGATGCTGGTGAGTAAAAAATGCATATCACCATGCTGTACAAACTAGAAAAAGGGTGTGGGTTATGATGTGAAAAACAAATATATACAACTTGTATACAGGGTGTTGTTATGGCACAAATATATATGTAGATACGTAGGTATTTGCATATGTCTTCATATTCCTGGGCCTCTGTATCTACATTATCATTATACATCCATAGTTTTTCAAAGATTTCTTCAGATTTTCACTGAGAAATCTCTGTAGTATAGTAAAATATATAGTACAGTAAAATGAATCAGGCAGTATATTGTAAACTGAAACTTCTAAAATTTGTGTTCTGTTTGTATTGAAGAGAAACATGACTTTCAGTTCATTTTTGTCTTTCAGGTTGTGCACTCACGGAAGGTATGTGTGTCTTCTCACAGGCAAATATCTTGTATGTATTTTAATTCCAGTTTTACTGACGCTAAGTACAAGCTGTGTGAGATTTCTACTACAAGAATAACTTGTACTTCCTCATCTAAGTGGTTTGTATGTTAGATTATAAAAAAAAAAAAAAAAAAAGACTTTGGGAGGGTTGTATGTGCATGCTGTATGTAGCTGTGGGTTTTTTTGGGTTTTTTTTAGCTCTTCTTTATGATTCCCTTTTGAAATAACAGAAGAAATTGTGGAACCTTCCTATAGAATGTAATTTGCTCTTTTTATCATCTCCTTCATTAACACTGCCTTCTGTTGGGAAGCTGCTTGCTCAGCCATGAAAGAAAAAATTTATACTTAGTCAAGTGATTATGACATCAAGATTCAGAATCTGGAATTCTGAATATTTCTTAATATCAAATTCAGAATACTTCTCATTACAAGTCACATTCCCCTCCAAACCACAAGGATACCCATATTAAAAATTATGTTTCTTTTCTTTATATATATATTTACACACTCTTGTTTTTCACCAACTTTAATGCTTCAGGAATCTTAAGGCTGAGCCAAGATCTGGCTGGTGTCTCAATACAACTGCAATTCCTTAAGAACAAAAAATCTATAAGAATAAAAATTCTAGATACCATGTTATTCTGAGCTACGTAAAACTTCCCTGATGTACCAGCAGCACTCACAAGGCCACTGACAATAATGAGCGAAAAAAATTAATATCTTGTGATTTAGCTTAATTTGAGTTCCTAAAAGGGGATTCACACGAACAGCATAGTTTTTCAGTAGAAGTGGCAACACGATGGTTGTTCCATTTCCAATCAGGACATACTTTCTTAGCATAAAGCCAATCTCTCTCCTTCCTAGACTTGCCTTCACTTCTGGTTCTTTGAATCACAGTGTTCTTTCCCATCCCCTGCTATCTCCTGTCAACAGAGCCATTCATTTGGCTTTAGTTTCTTTGTGTCGCTCAGCTAAAGCTTTCAAGGGTTCTTATTTGATTAAAGCTACATTAGATCTAGTCTCTCGTGATGATGATAAATCAATACACAAATGATGTTTGATTTGCAGCGTCCTACTTGTGGTATGGAAATTCTCTGAAGCTCACTTACCTCATTCTCTGTGGCAAAGCTTTCCTCTATGCAGTTTTCGTGAGCAGTCTGGTGCGGACAGCTAAGGTAGGCTTGGGGCCACTTGAAGGTTGAGCTTACTCACTAGTACAAGGATCAGTGGATACAGACTAAATCTGTTCTCAGCTATGGGGTTGTTCTGCACATGCTCTGCTGGGCTTTGTGCAGGCCAGTTTGGAAAATCACAAGTGATGAAATTTCCATTATTGTTTTTCCAGAACTCAAATAAAATAAATGCTATCTAGCAGAGCAATTCCTTCTCAAAATACTCTTTAAACACATGGAAAAAGATGAGAATTAAGGACAACTTCTCCAGAAAGTAAAGAAGGGAAATATCAGATTTCCAAAGATTTACTAAGAACAATGGGATAAATCTGAACAAATGGGAGAAGTTTAACTAACTACCAGGAAATACTGTTTATCAGTAAGTTTCTCATATGGCTGAAAGATATTCTCAGTGAGGCTAGTGGAAATCTCGGCACTTGTTCCTTTAAAAGCAGGACTGGGAGATATATTTGAAAAGTGACCTGGTAGAGTTGAGGGCAAGTATGAACACAATCCCAATTATGTTTTTCTGTCTGTTTTCAAGGATACTAGAGGGAGTAGGATTGTACTTTATTGGATCACAAACATAGAATCACAGAATGGTTTGTGTTGGAAGGAACCTTTAAAGATCATCTAGTCCAGCCCCACTGCCATAAGCAGAGACATCTTTCAGTAGATCAGGTTGCTCAAAGCCCTGTCCAACCTGACTTCGAACACTTCCAGGGATGGGGCATCCACAACTTCTCTGGGCAATCTGCTCCAGATTCTCACCACCCTTATCGTAAAAAATTTCTTCCTTATAGCTAATCTAAAGCTACCCTGTATTAATTTAAAACCCAATTGCCCCTAGTCCTGTCACTACAGGCCCCCATAAAAAGTTTCCCTCTATCTTCCTTATGAGCCCCCTTGTATATTGAAAGGCCACAAGAAGGTATCCTCAGAGGCTTCTCTTCTCCAGACTGAACAACCCCAACTCTCTCAGCCTTTCTTCATAGGAGAGGTGTTCCATCCCCCTGACCATTTTTGTGGCCTTCCTTTGGCTCCGCTATAATAGGTCCATGTCTTTCTTGTCCTGGGCACCCCAGAGCTGGATGCAGTACTCCAGGTGGGGTATCACCGAAGCAGAACAGAGGGGCAGAATCACCTCCCTCAACCTGCTGGCCACACTTCTCTTGGTGCAGCCCAGGATACAATTGGCTGTCTGGGCTGCAAGTGCACATGGCTGGCTAACATGCAATTTTTCATCCACCAGTATCCCCAAGTCCTTCTCCACAGGGCTGCTCTCAAGCCATTCATTCCCCAGTCTCTACTGATCCTGGTGATTGCCCCAACCCAGGTGCCTTGAACTTTATGATGTTCATATGGGCCCACTCCTCAAGTCTGTCCAGGTCCATCTGGATGGCATCCCTTCCCTCAAGCATATCAGCTGCACCACTCAGCTTGGTGTCATCTGCAAACTTGATGAAGGTGCACTCAATCCCACTATCAATGAAGGTATTAAATGTTATCAGTCCCAGTATGGACTCTTGAGGAACACCACTCATTACTGGTTTCCACTTGGACATTGAGCCATTGACTGTAACTCTTTGGGCACAGTCATCCAGCCAATTCCTTACCCGTGTAACAGTCCATCCATTAAACCCATATCTCTCCAATTTAGTGGCAAGAATGTTATGGGTGACCGTAGCAAAGGCCTTACAGAAGTCCAGGTAGATGATGTCTGTAGCTCTTCCCTTGTCCACTGATGCAGTCACTCCATTATAGGCGGCCACCAGATTAGTCATCTAACACACAAAGTTGTGTGTAAAGATATTAGTTCAGTACGTAAGTAAATAATTTGTATTGGTTAAGACACTTCCTTGGTACAAAAAGGGGAGAAAGCATGGAGATACGACATGGTCATTTCTGTTAATGCTCTCAGAAGACACAACAGTTGGGACACTGATAAATATGGTCTACTATTTCCTAGATTATTGTATTTGTTCCTTTTTCTTTCTTTTTTTTAAAATTTGTTTATTCTGTTTTGTTTTCAATTAGGCTGGTGGCAAGTTATAGAGAATAAATGAAGAATCCTCTTCATCACATCAGCAGAAACACAGCAAATTACCTTTCCATAGCAAAGGATCTATGCTTCTGTCTAAGAACTTCTGAATATTATTTCTTGGTGGTTCTCTGTCCCCCCTCCTGTTCTTCCCACTTTGTTGTAATCACTGATGGGTTTTTCTCTGTACTTCCACATCATACTGTATCATATCATATCATATAGTATCATACCTTTAAAACTAACACCTTCTTAATGCTCAGAGGCTGAGGGCCCAGCTCCTTCAATTAGGAATAAAGTTTTAGCTTCTTTTCCATTCACGAAGCATGAGTTGTTTTTTTAATTTGTTTTTTTTGTAGCAATAATGTCCTACAACACAACTTTCAGTGATGTGTAGTATCATAAGGAACTCGCATTAAAGAACATTCACTGACAATCCTTACAGGAATAGCTTATCTGTTATGAGAACAGTAGAAGGCTCATCCAGTACTTACACTGTGTACCAACAACTGGAGTGGGGCTGCAGGCTTCAGAGGCTTGCACACTGCAGTACCAGCGACTCGAAGCGTGAGCATCCAGGGCCAGCTAGCAAGCAGACTGCATGTCTAAGGCTAGTTTCTGGAAGATCCATAATGTATAAGTGTAGGTCCCAGTGGGTGTGTGAGGTAACTGGAGGACCAGGGAGTTCAGGGCCAGTTGCTGGGTAGACTAAGGCCAGTAACTGGGATCCAGAGTGTGTGTGCGCGCATGCCAAGGAGTGCATGAGGGGTTGTGCATGAGTGAGGGAGTCTGTACCAGGAAGTGCCGTGGGGCTGCAGGCCTCAGGGGCTCCTATGTCCAGGTCTGTTAGTGCCATCTGTGTTTGCGGAGTGTTCTGTCTATATTGACTTGTGTGGCTGGCTGTGTGCATACGTATATATTTGTATTGTGTGTGTGTTTGTATGGCTATTGGGAATACACACTTAGCCTTGCTAGTGGATGGACCTAGGGAAAGGGAGCTGCAGCAGCCTCACCACTATTGGGCTATTGGATTCAGTAACCGCAATAAAATAGTTAGAACTTACCTTTCACTTATAGCCATCTTAGAGTATTTGGGACATCAACCAACCCATGCCTACTGCACAGCACTATTTAGATGGACAGCGGTACATTTTGTCAGCGTTAGGAAAAATAGGCTTCCTGCGTTTCATACCAACCTTGTCAATAGTTTTTGTGCCACAGCAGTTCAGAATCTGTGAAGACAGGTCTTAGACTAAATGAAGAAAAGAAAAATGGGGTGGAGGGCAGAAGGGGTGATCCTGTGGTTTTACAGTCATACATTTACTGGGGGCAGAGGAAGGGAAAAAACTAGAAGTTTTTAGTCTTTTTTGGTATTGCCTGCAATATCATGCATGTTGGCAACTGGGAAGTATGGAAGCATCTACACACCAGCACAGCTTCCCCATTCATTTATTATGAAATGTAATCCCCACTGCTGTTACAGAAGGGCCTCACTGCTACCTTTTTCATCACAGAAGCCAAGTCCTAAATAAGCCATGAAGACTGAGTTACTCTTCGCTTATAGCACAGAAAGTATCACAGAATCATGCCCGCCTTAAAGTGTCACTAAGATTGAATGAGACTTTGACTACATCTGTCCTTTTCTCACTTATCAGGTGATTCCAGGATGTGCTGAGAAACAAAGCACTGACAACTGTTGGAGACGCTTACCTGAGAGTTCCAGACTACATCCATCAAAATTGACATCCTTGTTACATACACAGTGGAAGACTAGAAGGTGATTGTCACCCAGGTAACAAATGCTAATTGACTGCAGATATGGAGAAAGTCAAAGAGATCAGCCTGGTGTGGCATGACTAGGAAGGCCAATGTTGACTTATGCTAACCATCTAAGTTAGAGAAATATTTGAGACAAGAGCTCCTCCAGACAAAGAATGCCTAATACTGTAGAAGACTGGCCTGAGGTCCACATTAAAATCCAGGTGACCAGCCTGGACTTAAACACCTCAATCAGTTGGAGTGAGTGGCCTGTTCACCTGAGTCCAGGGTGCTGGCCACAGCTGCACTGGGGGGCTTGATTGATGTGTTTGCTGTACAGAGTGTGTGTGTGTGTGTGTACACGCCAGAAATTTTAAAATAGAAATTGCTATCCACCCACTATACCCAGCCTACTTAGTAAATACATTTTAGATTCTATGTGATTGAGTGGTGTTTTCATCTCGTGACTACCTCACCCCTAAATCACCCCATGACAACAACTCTGCACTCTCCCTTGTTACTGCATCTGTGCTGCTTAGCCTCCTACTAGTATTTAGCATCTGTATTATATGCTTATACCCTATCAGTGCGTCCCTAGGCTTCAGCCTATATCACAGCCATCTCCCCTTCCTGTTTCTCATTAGATATAAATACAAGATTGGCTTGGTGACTGGTAGTGGGTCATAGGAGACAAATAACACAGTACAACTCTGCATACAGAGGTACAGAAGCCCTTCTATCTTTCCAGATGTCTCTGCAATACAGAGACATGCAACATAGCAAAGACCATCTATTTTCTAAAGTTGTGTGTACAAGCACAGACTCTTGCATTTTCAAAAGTTTGTCCTCAGCCACTGGTGGTAGACCTGAAGAAAAACCTGGTTTTGTATTAGGCTCAACCATTGTGGGAATACCGGTGAGACAGTGATGCATTCCTTTGGGAGACCTTTAAAAAAAAAACTCCCTGAGAAGGGATAAACTCTAAAGCTTACTCTGAGATCATACTTCTGAGTAGTGTACCCAGCAAGAACAGGTGGACAACACATAGAGAATCCTCGCCTCCTGATACCCAGAAGTCACCCACATAAAAAAAAAAGGTGATTGTCACCCAGGTAACAAATGCTAATTGACTGCAGATATGGAGAAAGTCAAAGAGATCAGCCTGGTGTGGCATGACTAGGAAGGCCAATGTTGACTTATGCTA